TCCCGTATTCCCGACCTCCCTGGCCTCGGGATCAGCGGGAAATCCGGGAATGCCGGAGCGGGAAGAGCCGGCGCTCCGAGTCCCGGGATCGCGCAGCGGGACCGGCCGCTCCCGCCCGGAGCTTTGCCAGGGGCGATCCCGCCGGGAAGCGCCCGCTCCCAGAGCCGCCGATTCCCGGCTTTTGGCAGGGAACGGAGCCTGGAAAAAAAACCAAAAAACTGTTCCCAGATCAACCCGGAAATGAGCGCGGCCAAACGCGGCCGGGATCGGATCCAGCGGCGAGGAAGTGGGAAAAAACCAGGAAAAAAGAGCAAATCCCAGCCCCGCGGCGCATCCGCGCCTCTGGAAAATCCCGGAGCTCCTGCAGAGCCGCCCGGCTGTTCCAGCCCTCCCCGCCCGCCCATTCCCAATTATTCCCGGCTGGACCGGAACAAATCCCAGCCCGGCGACTTTCCCCTTCTGCTTCCCAAAAATCCGCTGCTTTTCCCGCTGGGAACGGCTTCCCCCAATTTCAGAGAGTGGGATGGGGAGGGATGAGCGGGTTTAGTTTATTATTATTAATTGTTATTATTATTAATTATTATCCCTTAGTTATTCAGGAAGTGGGAGGAGCGGAGCTGGGCAGGGCTGGTGGATTCCCAGCGCTATCCCACAGGAAAATCCTGGGAATTGCTGGGAATTAAGCCCATCCTGCCGGCTGGGACTGGGCTTTTCCCTGCCTTTTCCCTGGCCACGGCCTCCCAGGGCTCTGGAATTCCGCTCCCACCTTCCGGGATGCTCCAAGGCTCTTTTCAATCGCGGCACTCGGGAAAATCCCGGAATATTTTGGGTGGGATGGGCAGGGACACCTTTCCCGATCCCAGGCTGCTCCAACCCGGCCTCGCGCATTCCCGGGATCCAGGGGCAGCCGCAGCTGCTCTGGGAATTCCGGCCCAGCCGGGAATCCCTTCCCAGGATCCATCAAATCTCCATTTTCCAGCCGTTCCCTGGCTGCTGCCGCTCCATCCCTGATCCCAATCCCTCTCCAGCTCTCCTGGATCCCAGGAAGGGGCTCTGGGATTCCCCATTCCCAATGCTCGGGATGTTTTTAGTGAGCGCTCCGTAAAAATCCTCGTTCAACGAATCCCAAAAACCTCCAAAGGAGCTGGATTTACCAGGAATAATTCCCAGCAGGAATCCACCACTTGTGCTCCCCTCCCTCAACCACCAAACCCTTCATTAACGGGAAAAATCCACATTTTTCCCACTTTTCCAGGAAAAAACCTCCTTAAAACCACCACAAAGCCACCACAGGAAAAAAAAAACCCAAAAACTTGGAATACGTTTGGAAAAAACCAAAATACTTGGAAAATGCCCAAATAAACAGAGACATCCCGAGGTTTTTTTCCTTAAGATAAAAAAATTTATTTTTTTTTTCCCAGTCTTAGAAAGCTTTCCAAGCATTCCCAATGTCCCATAGAAACGTAGGAGAACCTCTTCCTGCCAAAAAATTCCGGAGGGGCGGAATACAAAACTATCCTGTGCACATTGTGCTTAAAGGAGCGCCCTGCCCGGAGCATCCTGTAAACAAATTATTGCATATTTTCCATCGGGATCCTCGGGAAAATCCCGGGAAATCCAACGAAATCCCAGCCAAGCCACGCCCGGGGAGGAGAACGGCAATGAGCGGCTTCCAGGGAATGCGGGATCCAGGGAATGCCGGATCCCAGGGAATGTGGGATTCTGGGAAACACCAGGATCCTGGGGAATGCGGGATTCCAGGGAATGCAGAATTCCTGGGAACGTTGGATTCCAGGGAATGCGGGATTCCAGGGAATGCGGGATCCAGGGAATGCGGGATCCCGGGGAACGCCCAGATCCCAGGGAATGCCAGGATTCCAGGGAACGCCGGATCCCAGGGAATGCCAGGATTCCAGGGAATGCCCGGATTCCAGGGAATGCGGGATTCCTGGGAACGCCCGGATCCCAGGGAATGCCCGATCCCAGGGAACGCCCGGATCCCAGAGAATGCAGGATTCCAGGAAACGCCCGGATTCCAGGGAATGCAGGATCCCAGGGAACACCAGATCCCAGGGAACGCCGGATTCCTGGGAATGCCGGATCCCAGGGAATGCCAGGATCCCAGGGAATGCAGGATTCCAGGGAATGCAGGATTCCAGGGAACACCTGGATTCCTGGGAATGCCGGATCCCAGGGAATGCAGGATTCCAGGGAATGCAGGATTCCAGGGAATGCAGGATTCCAGGGAACACCTGGATTCCTGGGAATGCCGGATCCCAGGGAATGCAGGATCCCAGGGAATGCAGGATTCCAGGGAATGCAGGATTCCAGGGAACACCTGGATTCCTGGGAATGCCGGATCCCAGGGAGGGTTGTGCTTGTGCTGTTGGGGTGGGGGAGCACGGAGAGGGGATCCCACGGGAAGAGCCAGTGGATCTCCGGGTGAAAATCTGGGATCGAAGCTGATCTTGGTCCCAAAGATCTCTGGGAGTTTGAAGATGGAAAGGAACAAGGAAATCCTAAACTGGAATGAATTCCAAGAACTTTTGGGGATCGGCTCCACGGCCAAGGGCCCTCCTCCAGTGCACAAATGGAATTTAAGGAATACCAGGAATTCCCCATGGATTCTCCATGGATTCACAGCCTCTGGTGATGGAAGGACAACCTTGGAATGCTGCACCCCAAACTTCCAGCGGCGTCCATGGAGAAAGGATCCCATGGGAAGGGCCAATGGATCTCCAGAGGAAAATCTGGGATCGAAGCTGATCTCGGGAGCTTGAAGGTGGAAAAATGAACAAAAAGATCCCAAACTGGAATGAATTCCACGGAGTTTTGGGCGCCGCTGGCACGGCCAAAGATCCTCTTCCAGCGCACAAAGGAATTGAAGGAATATCAGGAATATCCCCATGGATTCTCCATGGGTTTCCGGCCTCTGGGGATTCCTGGAAGCTCCACCTGCCTGAGGCCACCAGAAGGTGACGGAAGGACAAGAGGTGGGACAGGAGGGACAACCTTGGAACGCCCATCCCGCGCTTCCGGAGCGGGAAAATCCAACCCTGCCGTCGGCACCAATTCCCAAAAAAACCCATCCGAGAGGAATTCCGGCCTCTGGAAGGCACCAAAACCATCCCGGAGCAGCACCCAAGGAGCTCTCCCGCTTTTCCAGCTGGGAAAACGATGGAAGGAACAGGCGGGGGGAGGACGGAGCGGATTTTTGGGAAGGGATCCCAGGTTTGGGGTGCGTTTGTGTCCGTTGCGTTTCCATGGGCTTGGAAAAAATTCCCCGCTGCTGCCTTTGGAATTGGAATTTCTCCTCCGCCATCTGCCGGATCCGACCGGAGCGCGCGGATTAAAGCCGGGACAAAGTCGCTGCGGGATCGGTGGGAAATGAAGGAAAAGCCTCAAAAACTGAAAGCAATGGAAAGATGGAGATGGGTGTTGTCCTCGTGCCCAGGATTTTGGGATCGGGATCAGCTCCACCACGGGACGGGAGCAGTGGGAATTCCCAAAGTCCATCCCGGAGTTGGCGATCACGCCTTCCCCTGTCCCAGGCTGCTCCAAGCTGGCCTTGGACATTCCAGGGATCCACAGCTTCTCTGGGAATTCCAGCTCAGGAAAACCTGGAAAAACCTCTGGGATGGAATTGTTAAAACGCCGGATGGGCTGGAGCAGGGGAAAAAATGAAAATTCCCGAATTCTTGAACTTCCTGAGGAACTCCGGACGTGCTCCGTGTCCCGCTCAGCAATTCCCAAAGATGCCCCCAGTGCTCTGAGGAACCTCCCAGATGGAATTCCAAAATCCCACGGAAAACACGGAGCTACAGGAAAAGGGATCCCAGCTCC